AAAAAGACAAAAGAGACTTACAACATAAGTGTAGGGGAAAAGTGAAACTAATAATACTAGAGAGAAGGATATTTACATTTGACAATCAATTATTACAGCAGTACTAACTTCTAAACTTACTATCTAACCATTTTAGATGTAAACAAGTTTTTCTATCAGGTAAAGGAAATCCAACTACATTAGATTGATGTTTTTTTCCGAAGCTTGGTGACTTGAATCAGTTGAATCTGTTAAAGTACTCTTCAACATTGCTGTAATGGGTAAACAATTGACTGCCAGAATGTACAGGCTAGGGTCGTCGGAAAACGTCGAAGCAAAAAAATGGCACATAGAAAGGATGTCGAAAGAGCAACTTTAAAAAGGATAACGTTCTAAGTACTAAATTATTTCTGTTACTTGATTATGCAAATCACTAATCTTTCACCATTTAATATCGAGAAAGGCAAGAGAGACTTGATAAAAACCTCATGCTTTAGGTTCTTCTTTCGATAAATGATGATTGTTTGAACAGGAGCTCTTTTGCACTGATATATTTTTTAGAGTTTTTAAATTTAAAATGTCGAATCGTAGTTCAAAATCTTCTAAATTTTCAGACGGTATAAAATGGATGCCATAGTACTTAGCTGAAAAATTGTATGTTTGTATCAAATATGTTCACATGAAGTTAGTTGTTTTCTGCTAATGTGTTTATTTTTTTCAACTTTTTCCGTTTTTTCATTTTTATTCTCCATAATTCTTTTGAGACAAGTTCCACTTTCAACATTCCCCTTTTCGACATTTTCTGCCAAGACTGTTCAAGCCAGATCGACAACTTTGACCTGATTGGCTTTCTAGTTGCCTGACATTTATCAGAATAAATAAAAGCAGTTTTTTGTTTTTGTATAATTAAAAATGTCTTTTGATTACTCAATAGAGTTCTGTTCGTAGTACATATGTATTCCAACAATAATATTGAAAGAATAAACAAATATTAATGTCCGCGTCATTAATATCTTTTGATATTGTTCGATCCCACAAAAATGAATTATTTTTCTTTGATAATACATAATATATGATATTGATATGGATATTGTTACATGAATTGATGAAGAAAGTGGCAATATATTGATTCACGCTATCGCTTTCGGATGAGACTTGAAGAAAAGAATATGGAGAAGAACTGATTTCATACAAATTGAAATTGCTTTAACTGTCGTATCCTTTTGCGTATCGACGTTTTCTTTAGTTGACGAAAACACATTTTCGTTAACATGAGTTTAATGTTGGTGTCGATTCTTTTAAATTGTTTTTCGCAAAGTAACTATATCATACCGGTGATATGTTTAACCAACAAAACAACCATGCAGATAAATTTTTACTTAGACATTTGACAAAAACGTATTATTACTAAGTATAATTATTTTCACAACCTATAATGAGTCAGTGACTACTGTCATTTAACACAAGTTAGACTAGGAATGATAATTTTTTTCACATTGGAATGTCGTTTACTCTGATATGATTAAGATGTTCAGTATGCAGACTTATTTCATTAGCTATCTTTTGTATGTTTGGTATTTATACACACGATTTTGCATGATTTTTTTTTATTAATATTTGTCATATTTTTATTAGTCAGCTGCATGATTACGATGAAAGTCTAATATTATGAATAAATTTTTATGCTAATACAGGTTATTTGAAAAGCCATCTTGAAAAAACCTGTACAAAAACGTATTTGTTGGAAAAACTCATAATATTTTGAAATAAATACTTTTGTCAGGAACTATTCTGACAAGTAATATATTATACAAATGATTAGGTTTTCATTAAATCAAGTATAAATCATCGTTTTAATATGTATTTTTCTATGTCAGATATATGCAAATTTTGTTTTTATTACCTTGAATATACATAATTTGGATATATAGAAAGCATCTATTCATTTTTCATTTTTCATTATTCTGTTTTTCAAAACAATGTTGTGTTCAAACGGTAGTTCTTATCTGAAAGAAAATCGATGTTTATTTGGTTTTTATACTTGTCCTAAAGAATATTATCTTAATAACAATAAGGATATCCATTATAATGCGTTAACTCTTCCCATGATTGGAGCAATTCTTTATGATCTTCCACTATTACGTTATGTTTATGGTTTTATTTTAATTTTATTAGCTTCCATTGGTATAATAAATAATATATTTTCTATAATGACATTTATGCGAGAACGTATTCGACATACAGTTTGTGGTATTTATTTAATTAACTATTCAATATGTAGTTTAATATTAATGATGTTAATTTTAACAAATATAATAACTGCTATTTATTATGATAAGTATTTATTTCGTATATGGGCTTGTTATGGTTATCCATATTTATCTCTTATTATGGTTTATACAAGTATTGTGATGAGTACTGCAATTGCAATAGAAAGTGTACTCTATATATGTTTTAATTTTGATAAATTTCGTCGACGTAAACGATCTTTAATTATTTCATTATTTTTTTTTGTTATTGTTTCATTATCAAATCTTGATAAAATATTTGGACGAAGTTTATTAATTGATCAATCTGGTAATTTCTATTGTACATATAAAAAATATTCATATAAATATTGGTCAATAATTTTATATTATATTTATATAATTATTCCATGTTTAATTCATGTAATATGTATTATATGTGTTATTGTATTATTCATAAAAGAAAATCATTTTCGAAAAATAGTTAACCATCGCATCTATTTTATTCCATCATTATTTATTATTTTTTGTATGCTTTTAAATAGTTTATATCTAAATTTATTGAATTTTTGTTTAACATTATCATCAAATTATAAAATTCGTTTACACATTGTATTTATTTTTCTTCTTTATACTCCACAAATATTAACGTACATAATTTATGTTATGCCCAATAATTTTTATGTTAAAGAATTTTATCAAATATGGTTGTTTAGAAAATTATGTTTTTGTTTCTATAACAAAAGACGACATATACAAAAATTTGAAGTTTTACGTATGTTATGGACACGGCGAACATCGTTAGAAACTATTAAAACAATATCTACTCTTGATGATATTTGTATTGACAGTGAATGCTATAAAAAAATTAAAATGGAATTTTAATTTGTTATTTTATTTTGAAATGAAAATTACATTAAATTTAATAAAACGAAAGATTATAAAATATCATTGACAATATGTAGATACTACAAAAGCACAAACCACATGCTGATAGATAGATGATTTTAGAATAGAAAATTTTCTTGATATCATTAAATCAATTGTTATTAAAAAGAAAAGTTAAGACATGAAAATGTTTTGTTTTTGAAGAAATTTAACATTGATAGAAAACTATGAAGATCTCTTTTTTAGCTTAGTCTATCGATAAAACGCTTAATACACAATAGAATAGTGTTACGTACTGGGAAAGACAAGATTTCATTGACATAAAAGATTATTTCGATTGATTATATATTTCAACATCACAAGAACGTTGTAGCTGAATTTTTGTTTTGAATAATACAATCGCTAATTGTGATTTGTGTTTATATCCGAGTTGATACCAAGAGTAGATTTGATTTCTAGGTTACATTAGTCATTAATAAGTATTTATACATATACATACTCATTATTAAATTGTCTTAAAATAACGTTAGTTCATTTTTACTAAATCTTATTGGTTGATAACTAAAAAAAAGTCCTTAGTTTTTACTAAAAATAGATATTTTTTTATTGTGTTTTTTAGATCATTCAATTCTTGTCGCATTAGTACCTGTACTATGTCTTCATACACCTATTTGATCAAAATTTAAACGACATCAAATTTCGTCTGACATACTCCTTATAACAATAATGATTATTTTGTGAGTTTGTTTTTCATATTTAAAACAAAATCAGAAGTTGTCGTGCTTGAATAATCTATAAAAGAAATCATCTGACAAAAATGTTATGTCACATAGTTTATTTCATATGAAATTGTATGTCTACAGCATTGAATATCCATCAAAGATTATTGATATTTAATTATTTTTAATATAAAATTCTTGAGTTTATAGAACGTAATTGACTATTAAAACGTTTGCATTTTGAATTATTTATTCTATTATTCAAATAAAAAAGTTATCAAACGTTCGCACAAGCACAGAAGTAAAAACTAGCTTTTTCAAATATGTAGAAATTATCATTAGATTTTTCGGATTTCTTTTAGTTAAACCAATAAGCAATCAGTCGTGTATAATTCGAAGTTTATATGTAGATTCTTTTCTCCATCTATTATACAGAAGAATAAAATCATCTTATATTTATCTATGATTAGCCACTTGAAATTCTTTCGAACCTGGAGTATACTCTTCAATTTCTTGAGGTTCGATAACCACTGCTTCCAAGCATATCAGAAAAAATTTTCAATTGATCTGAAACTATTAATTTAATATTAAACTGTACAGATAAGAGACAGATCCTACAATATCACACTATTATAGGATAACTGATCAATCGAAACATTAGTATGATACATTGCTTTCATCAAGGTGTTGCCTGACATATATGATAAAAGAAGTCATAAAAATTTGTATTATAGAATCTAAAAATGCGTTCTTCAATAAAAAATAATCTTGAATAACTTTAATCAAATATTAAACCTAAAAATACGTTTCATAAACTATTTGGCCATGTTTCTCAGAGAGTACATTCTTTTTCACTTATCTTATATGACACGATATTTACTTAGCATCCGAAGAAAATGAAGTATTAACAACTACAAATAAAAATATAGTTCATCATCGTAGTGAAAACAACAACAAAGTTTGTGATTTTTAGTAAAAAGATTTCCTAAACAAGACGAAATCAATTAGCAATATTTTAATGCTTTGTTTTTTTCATTGATTTTCTTGATCAGATAAAGTGATAATGACAATAACACAAAAAAAACCGACATTGTATCATCCAATATATGCACGAAAGAAATAATTTCTATCACAAAACAGAAAAAAAAAGAATTAAACCATTCTGAAGATTGGTCACCTAATAATATGAGAAATATTCTATTCGGTCAAATTGAATAAAATTTTTTGGTATGACAGGAAAAAAAAGGGAAACAGTTTGTTTTTATTCAATAGATTTGTTGGCTTGAACGTTTGCGTTCATTGGTATTGCTTCTTCAGCATCTAATTTTTGTTCCTGTTTAGCACTATTATTCACAGCTTGAAATGTCGCCCATTTTCTTGGTATAGCCGAACCATATATAACATAAACAAGACCACCAATGAAATAAACAATACCAAACATAATATATAGTTTTCTCCATTGTTCTAAAACTGGCTTTTTAATAATTAATCCTGCAACTATATTTCCAATTAAACCAGCTAATGACGCAAATGTATTAGCAACGCCAAATATAACACCGGAAAAAGCTGGAACAACATCCGCAAAATTGACCACAAAACCACTACCATAAGCAAAACCTATATATATATATAAATGCATATTGAGCTGAATAAAAAAAATATATGTAAAATTTTTACCAGAACTAGCAAGATAGACCAAAATAGTAATAATACCTAACATTTGTCTTGAATTATCACAAAAATAAAATGATATCATACATAAAACAGGGATAAATGATGCTAAAGAATTAAACAATCTTCTTGCATTTGTTAATGTTATCTTATTTGCTCGAACTAAGTGATCAGCTACGATACCTAAAAATTATTTTTTTTTTCTTAAGTAGAAAATTTTTTTTTTTAATTTTTATTACCTGACGATAAACTACATAATAATGTTAAAAAAAATCCTGAACATAATAAATAACCAGTACTTTGTGGTGGTATACGTAAAAGTTCATTTGAAATTTTACCAAGATTTGTTAAAAAGAAAAATAAACCAAATAAATTTGCAATATGTGTTATTATTAAGGCATTTACTGGTTTTGATTTTATAATATTTTTCCATGGTAATGATGCTAGTGACATCATACGTTTTTTTCCGGTACTACCTGTTAACCTACATATATAATCTCGTTCATGATTACTGATTCTTTTATGCTGTTGTGGTGAATCTGCTGTTAATGCAATCCATAATATAAGCCATAGAAAACCAAGAATACTCGTAATAACAAATAAATACATCCATCCGGAATATACATAACGACACAATAATCCACCAAAAAGCATTGTTAAAGATGTTCCAAGATGTGTTCCACAAAATCCAATTGAGGCAAGTGTACTTCGTTCTTGTGGAACAGCCCATAACGACCAAAGAGAGACTGTTGCTGGAAAAAGAACACCATGTGCAAGACCAATTATACATCGAAGAACAAATGCCAAAATAAAATGTGTATTAGACATCATATACATGATTGTTAAAGCCAAAGTAGCTAATGAACTAGTTCCTAGAGAACCTGCGTAAACCCATTTTACACCTATATTTGTTGCAAACCATCCACCTTATTATAAAATTTAACACATGAATTATTATATTAAGAAAAGAACTTTCTATGTACCTGGTATTTGTGTGAATATATAACCAGCCCAATATCCACCTAGCAGAAGTTGTTGTTGTAATTCGCTCCAATAATATTGTTTTTCCTGAAAAATGCCTCCTTTTTGCATGAGAATATTAGTCGGTTTTGTTGTTACTGACGAATGGGAAGCAGTTTCTAATATATCATTTGGTAATGCTGTTGTTACATCAAATGATAAATAATGTTGAATAGGTTTTGTACGATTAACCATACATACAATAGCTATTGGCAGATTCACACGTTGAGAATATTGAACAATAAAAGCAAAAAAGACAAGCAATGCTAATGTAAAACGTGTTGATGGAATTAAACGTGGTCGAGATTGACCATCAACAAGAACTACTGTTGTTTCAGTACCCATATTTAGATAATAAACTAGAATAATACAAAAAAACACAAGAAAGAAAATTTTGTTGAATGTTTAACGTTATCTCGTTCGAACCATCTACACGCACACTTTGTTGTTATTGAAGGTCATAAACATGGAAGAGAAATAACGTGATACTATGTTCTATCGGCTTTTTTTCCTCCTCAATTGTATTGGTTGTAACGACCGAAATTGAGAAAAGAAACACTTTTTTCTCTGGATTGAATTTATTTACAACGTCATAATCTCTCACTCTTTACTTTTGCTCGTTACAATTTGTGATTTGTTAGAGAACAAAAAAAAATGATGTAACGATTTGGGTGGATGGGCAAAAGAATATACGTACTGATTGTATGTCAATTACAACGAAATATATCCTTCACATTTTTCTGTACATCCTATTCTTTTCTTATAATTTGATATATGACACAAGAAAAGGCAGGATTGCAAATGCTTTTGTATTTACATATAATTACCTTGAAAGCAACATATGTCGATTCATACGAGAAACTTAATCATATGTAGTATCGGATAAATGTTTCACTTAACACAAGTCATTCTTAATTGATCTATTCAATAGCTACATGATAAGATATTGATAAAAAAAAACAAGAGGATTCATCAGAAGATTTTTTTTTACTGTTAAATTTGACGTGCTGATCTTTTTCTTTCTTCACAGAGAAAAATTAATTCAATCGTAGCAAAGGACAAATTTCAAATTCTGCACATCTTGATGAAATAATGTTTATTCTGAATATATATTTATAGCTTATTATATATTGTTATTTTAATTTCAAGTGGCTATTCATTGGTTACTCCATATAAATTAAAGTCATTCATATTGATTGCAGAAAAACAAATGCAATAATGACGAACATTACTATACTAAAATAAATAGTTTTATATATTTTTACACATTCTGCCGAGATAATGAAAATATTCTTCAGTATTTTTTTTTATAAATTTTGCCAAGAAAGTCGCTTACATACTTATTTTATTTCTTTTAAATTTTAAAACTAATTAACGAACAAAGAAAATGTTATTTTGAGTTTTAGCAATAACTAAACTATCACTTTTGCAGCGTTCATTGATGAAAATCATATAATGTTGTCATTCTGCTGTTGCTAATGGAATTTATAAATAAAAAGTACGATAGCTAAATTTATTTAAGCCATTAGCAAACAGATGAAATCATAGGTTAATAGCGACTGAAAAACTTCTGTGCTTTTTACTCTC